ATAAGTAATTATTTTTATTAATTTATTTCTGGCCTATTTTTGCAATGTTTCTCTTAACCAAATAAGAATATGTATATAGTCTCATTTCCTCCTCTTTCCTACACAAAGCACACTATATACCTTGTCTACACCTTGCTTTTTTTTCACTTAAAAATATACCCCGGAGGTCAGCCTGCGTTAGGTGTAGAGATTTCCTTATGCTTTCTTACAGGTGTAGAGTATGCGCCACTGTATTTATTCAACTCGTCCCCCATTGATGACATTTGGATCCTTTCTAATCTTTAGCTTTAAAAAAAACCAAAAAAATAGTGATAGCCTTATGCACATGCCACATCAGTTTGTGGAAGGTGTATTAGTTTTCTGTTGTTGCTGTTATAAATTACCACAAACTTAGTGGCTTAAAACAACACGAATTTGTTATCTTACAGTTCTGGAGGTCGGAAGTCTGAAATAGGTCTCACTGGGCTGAAATCAAGGTGTCGGCAGGGATGTGCTCCCTTCTGGAGACCCTGGGGAGGAGTCCCTTTCCTTGCCTTCTCCAGAGTCTAGACTAGGCTGCCCACATCGCTTGGGTCATGCCCCTTCCCCGTCTTGAAGGCCAGAGACAGTGTGCTGAGCCCTTCTCACATGGCATTATTTGATCCTTTTTGCCTCTCTCTTCCACTTTAAGGACCCTTCAGTTACATTGAGTCCACCTAATTAATTCAGGATAATCTCCCCATCTCAAAGTCCTTAATTTAATCACATCTGTAGAGTCCTTTTGCCCTGTCAAGTAATATATTCATGGGTTATGGAGATTAGGACATGGACATCTTTTGGGCTCCATTGTTGAGTCTACCACAAAAGGGATATCTCCAGGGTAGAGTCCTAGAAGTGGGACTACTGGTTCAAAGGGTAAATGCATATGAAATTTTTTGGTTATTGCTAAATTCCTTTCCAAAGTAATTATAAATATAGAATATTTAAAATGTCACTCCAGTTGTTCTAGTTGAGTCAGATTCATTGTAATATTAATAGTACTTGTGAAAATAACCTAATGCACTGCTGTCAAAGAGGCAGCAGAGCGTCGGAATAAATGAGTGTGACCCCGCGCATGTGACCAAGGCATGGGATCAAGCAGGAGCCTGAAGAGAACAAAGGGAGGGGTGGACACAAACTGCGTCCAACTGTTCCCATGGTGACTGCATCAGCAAATGCAAGGGCAGATCCTGGAGAGTCCAGAGGGACAAGAGCTGGTGGACCACAGTGATCTTTTATGGAAGATTCATCTACCCTGCCTGCATTCATTTATCATCTAACATCATTTCTGAACACAAAAGAGCAAGATAGATCTATTCATTGTTATCTTGTTTAAATTTTCAAAAATTCAGTTTTACAAATTTATAATA